GAACTGAGACTAGAGGTTCCATTTGACCCAGCCATCCCTCTGCTGGGTATCTTTCCAAAAGAATTAAAAGAATCATATCACAGTGATATATGCACACCTATGTTTATAGTGACACAGTTTGTAATAGCTAAAACTTGGAAACAGCCCATTTGCCCAACCGTTGGAAACTGGATAAAGAAGATGTGGTTTTTCTATAAAATGGAATACTACTCAGCCATAAAGAATGAGAAATTAGATTCATTCATAGGAAAATGGTTACATATTGAGGATATACTCCTAAGTGAAATAAATAAGTCACACATGTATAAATACCAAATAGTTTCTCTGGTGTGAATAAACTGTAATAGTACACAAGATCCTAAAGAGATAATTAACAATGTGAAATAGGAAGAAAAGGGCTAAAGGTGTAGGGAAAGTGGGAAGGGTAGGGAAAAGGGGATAAGGGAAAAGAAAAAAATATGAGAAAATGGAAATAAAGTGTTTGTGTGTGGGGAGGGGAGGAGCAGGACAAGGGGAAAATATGAGAACCAAGACCTGTCATGTAAAGGTACAAGATCCCAATAATGAATGTAACTCTACTGTATACCTAAAATGTACCAATAAACTCAATAAAAAGAAAAAAAATTTTTTGGTTGGGTTGAATGAATAAAAGACTCCCTGAGTTAAATCTTCTAACTCCTAAAGTTAAGTCTTTCTTTTCACTACTGGTGTTATACCTTATGAATCAGTTGAAAGTTATAACTCTGGGCAAGTTCTACTAGGCTGCTACAAATGAGTATAATGATAGCCAGCATAGGATCAGCATGGAAAATAATAAGCTTCTATTCTTATTGATTCAACTTTTTCTGAGAACCAAAGTTCTCACACTTCACTGCAAAGGCAGTCAGATCAAACTGTCTTACTCATCTCTTTATCTCCTGCCTCATCTTCTAACCACAGCCCCATATCTAGCCCCAGAATAGCAGTAAATTTCATCAATGTTTGTCATCTGCCTGACATTTCTTTTATTAGTAGTAGAAGTACATCTTAATAGTACATGATGTTTACATTCCTTGTGTGAAGTTGGCACCTGAACATTTCTTTATAGCTAAATATGCTGTAGAGAGGGAAACATATAATCCTAGAAATCTTCACATATATGAAAATCTCAGAGTCAAGGAATCATAAGTCGTTCAGAGTGTACACTAAAATTTTTCAGTAGAGAAAGCCAAACATCTCATTATCAGAAAGTAACCAAGTCTGTTGCAAATGTGCCTTTTATTGTTTTTGTAGGATTTCCTTATAACTTTACTGCATAGCATTTTATATTGAACAGAAAACTATTTAAATCATTGAAGTTCAACTGCTCATTTGCTCTAAAATGAAATTTGTTCGTTTGTGCATTGTTTCTCCAAAAGAAATAAATGGTTCCCTGTGTAAAAAAATTGAATTCTTTTGATGGTATTTCAATTGCTAAGTGTACCTAAAAGGTAGAATTATCTGACATTTCATTGGAGTTTTATTGAATTCCTTGATTTTTCTCTAGACGCTTATAGATATAAAGTTTTTCTTACTGTACTCTAGACACCGTTCACTACAGACATTCATAGCCACCAAGACAAGAAATTGAGTTAACCACAATTCAGTTTTTTTCACTCAAAAGTGATGTCTTTTAAACATCTGGACAAGAAATCTATATTTAGTTTATATTCAGCATGGCTTCTAGTTGCTTCCATTATGA